TGAGCCTACTCATTCCATCCATGTCCATCCACTCCATGTCCATCCATCTCACATCTACCCATTGCACACACTGGACATCCATTAATGTCCATCCAATATCCATTCTCCCATTCATCCCTCCATCCATCCATCCATCCATCCATCCATCCATCCACTCATTCCATGCCCATCCATCCATCATCCATCCATCCATCCATCCATCCATCATCCATCCATCCATCCATCCATCCATCATCCATCCATCCATCCATCCATCCACCCATCCATCCATCCATCATCCATCCACCCATCCATCCATCCATCCACCCATCCATCCATCCATCATCCATCCACCCATCCATCCATCCATCATCCATCCACCCATCCATCCATCCATCCATCCGTCCATCCATCCATCCATCCATCCATCCATCCATCCATCATCCATCCATCCCTTGTCCATTCACCCAACACTCTCTGGACAGGCCCTGGATGTTGGTGGGCTCCCACTCTCACCCATCCCAGCTTCTCCATGAGCTGCACCAGAATGGAGCTGGCAGCCCATGCCCACCCACCCACCCTGTGTCCATCCTTCCCAGCTTCTCCAGAAGTTCCCCAGGATGGAGATTGGGTCCATCCATCCCTACCCTACAGGAGCGGTGTTGGGATGGAGCCAGGGCCCCCCATCCCTGTGTCCAGGGGAGGGGAGGGCGCTGTGGAAGGCACAGCTCATCACACCCACTGTCCCCAAGCTCTCCAGGACAGTGCTGGGATGTGGAGGTGGCCCCACATTCCCCATTCCCCCTCATTCCCACATTCCCCCAAATTCCCCATTCCCCCACGTTCCACATTCCCCCACATTCCCCATTCCCCCTCATTCCCCATTCCCCCACATTCCCACGTTCCCATTCCCCCACGTTCCCCATTCCCCCGCATTCAGCTGTGTCCCCGTACAAAGCCAGGATCCCACACGGCTCGGGGACAGTGACACGGATGGATCCCACCCCACCGTGCCCACCTGGCCGGGATGGGGACAGGACGGGGCTCCTGTCCTGGCCCCCGGGGTGCCGGTCCCGTCCCGTCCCGGCGGCTCCGTCTCCTTTAAGAGCGGCCGGAGCGAATTGAGCCGCCTGTCCCCGCTGGCGCCCGGCCAGGCCCGGCCTCGGCCGCGGCCAGATCCCGCTGCAGCGCCCGCCCGGCGGGGACAGCCGGCCCGGGGACAGCCGGGGACAGCCGGGGCCCCGCTGGGTGCTGGGTCACTGCTGCGGGTGAAGGCACACGGAGCCAGAGGGTGGGGACAGCCGGAGATGTCCCCATTAAGTCTCAGGACTTGTCGTACCAAGATCGTGGAGATACGTGAAGTGTAGCAGAGAGATGTCCCTTGTCACATCTGTGTGCCCTGTCACCTCCGTGTCACTGCTGGAGAGCGGGACAAGGGGGGGGGTGGCAGGGGAGGGGACAGGGGAGATGGATCCCACTGCCCTGAGGGAATTGTGACTCGGGGTGAAAAAGGGACAGTTTGGGGACAGGGGACAGAACAGAACAGGGGAACCTGGGGGCCACGGGGACAGGGAACAGAACAGCCCCAGGAGACAGGACAACCCCCATGAAGGACAAGGGACAGGAGAGCCCATGGATAAGGGGACAGGACCAGCAGCAGGGGACAGCAGTGACCATGGCCTGGGTCCCCGGAGCACTGGGACAAGCAGCGCTGGGGACACCGCATGGCCCAGGGTCCTGCTCCCAGCTCCTCCTCCTCCTGTCCCTTGCCTGCAGTGCTGTCACCGCCGGGGCTGTCCCTGTGCTGGGACACTCCAGAGCTGTCACCACGGCTGAGCTGAGCCCTGTCCCCATGCCCAGGAGCACTGGTGGCACTGGTGGCCCTGGTGGCACCGCTGTGATGAGTTGCGGGTGCTCGGGGCCGGCCCGGCTTTGGCGTTAATTGATTAATTGACTCCCGCGGCGGTGGCAGCTGTGAAAACAGAGCGGGGCTCATTAGGGGACATCAAAGGACAGCCGGGAGGGGACACGGCCCGAGCCGCTGGCGTTTGCTCCCTCTTCACCCGGCTTAAAAGGGGAGGAGGAGGATGGGAGTCACTGATCTGGGGACAGCCCTGCTCAGCGAGGCGGTCCCTGCCCCCTGTCCCTGTCCCTGGGATTAGTGGCACAAGTTTCCCTGCCCCCTGTCCCTGAGACTGGTGGCACTTGGGGGCACCCATTCTTTGGGTGACATCCCCAAGGTTACCTGGACATGGGGTGACCCATCCCTGGGGTTAGCTGGGTTTGGGGTGACCTCTCCTCAGAGATCAATGATCTGCTCCTGGGGTGACCCATCCTTGGGGTCACCCATCCCCAGGGTGACCTGTACCCAGGGTGACCCATGTCCACAGAGATCCATCTTTGGGGTGACAGAACAGGGGACAGAGGGGACACACGCTGACTGCTGCTTGCAGACACCCTCCAGCTCCTCCTGCTCAGGCTGCAAACAGCCCTGAGAGCCAAAAACCTCCAAAACACCCCAAAAATTGCTCGGAAAAAGCACAGAGATGGCGCAGTTGCTCAATCACAGGACCCTGTGGGGCCAGGGACCCCCAGAACCCCCAGATCCCTCAGCACCCCCGGAGCACAGGAGCAGCCCCAGCAATCCCAGATCCCAGCTCTGTTTTCCAAAGCCAGGACATGAAGTCTTTTAAAAAAAATCTCCTCTCGGAGCTCCTGCATTCCTGGGTGGAGAGTTTACATTCCCCCGTCCCCTGTGATCTTCAGCTCCGGAAAACAAAGCAGCCTTGGGGGGGAGCAGCTTTTTGGGGAGCAGGACCCTCCAGCCATAGCCAGGACCCCAAGGGCAGCACCCCAAAACTGAAACACCCAGAGGCAGGGCTGGAAACAGCCTGAAACCCCCTTGGCAAGGGGGTGGCACCCTCGGGGTGGGCATTGAGGGGTGCAGGGGGGTCCCCTGAATGCCTTGGCCAAAGCTCAGCCTGCCCATGCCACCACCAGAACAGACTGCAGGGATCTCCCTGCCTGAATTCCCATTTCCAGAGGCTCCCAGGGCAAGAACTGGGGTAACGGGGGGTGCTGGGGTGTCCTGGGGGGTGCCAAGGGGGGGCTGGGGGGGGTCCCAAAAAGCCCAGCCCGACCCCCAAACTGCCCCTCCAAACGGCAGAGGAGGGGGAAAAGAAGCCCTGGATAAGTTTCTCCCCCTCTTCTCTCCCCCTTCCAAGTCATCGCTGGAAAATTAAACCGGATCCAAAGAGTTTTTCCTTTCCAAAATGTGCTGGAGAGGCGCTGCCTTAACCCCTTCAGCTCCCGCCTCGCCCTCTCCGCGGGACTGGGATTTTTCAGGGGGTTTGGGGATTTTTCCCGGCCTTTGCTGGGGGAAGGGGAATGGTTTGCCCTGGCAATCCCTCTTTGTGCTCCAGGGATCCCCAAATCCCCTGCAACGAGCCAGACCAGAAGGGCTGAGGCTCCCCAGGGCTGATTTTGGGGCACCCTTGGGGCCAGCGCTTCGTGGCCAGGTCTCCCTCTCCATTTTGGGAAGAGAATTTTTTTTTCATTCCGATTAAACCCAGCTGATTAAATCCATCCTTTCAGCCGCCCCCTCCCTGCCCTGAGTTGTCCCCCTCCAGCTGAAACTCCCCTAGATCCCCCCTCCAGCATCCCCCAAACCCCAACAGATCGAACACCCCCGCCAAACCCCTAATCCCAGAGAAAATGTGAGCTATTTCCTCCCGGGAGGGGACACACAGGAGAGGTCCCCCTCCCTCTTCACACTGAAAATTCCTCATTTTTTGGGTTAAAAATCTCTTTTTCCCCCTTTTCAAAGTGCTTTGTTCCAGCTGGAGGGAGGCTCATCCCCACGGGGCGGTGGAAATGGGGGGGTCCAGCAGATTCCATGGGAACCCCCATAATTTAATTATTGGGAGGTTTTTTTGGGGGGAAAAAAAAGCCCTCGGGGATAATCTGGACATTTTTTGTATTTGGGAAGGATTGTTCAAAAAGGGATTTGGGAGGAAAAGTCATCAGCCAAGGAGGGGGGCCCAGGGAGAGCCCCCAATGGTGGCAGACCCAGCCCCGGGTCTCGTGGGAGCAAAGGGGTGGAGATGAAAAAATCCAATTTCTTGGGGAGTTTTGAAAGGAGAGTGAGAAGAATGGGCTTGGTTTGGGGGTTTTTTGCCTTTTTTTCACCCTTTTTTCCAGGGGCCAGCGGAGCAGGGCTGGAAGGAGCCGGGACAGAGCGGGAAGGGGGGAGCAGGGGGCCGAGGGTCCTCTCCCAGCCTTGGCAGTGTTTTTCCCCTTTTATCCTTCTTTTTTCTCCCTTTTCCCACCTCTTTCTCTTTTTTCCTGATCCTTTTTCTCTCCTTGTTTTTTTAATCTCCTTTTTCTCTTTCCCCCTCCTTTTTTTATCTTTTTCTCTTTTCTCTCCTTCTCCTGCTCTTTCTCCCTTTCATTTTTTTTCTGCTTTTTCTCATTTTTCTTCCTTTTTCTCTTTTTTCTGCTGTTTTCTGTTTTTCTCCCTTTTCTCCTGTTTTCCTCCCTTTTCTCCTGTTTTCCTCCCATTTATCCTGTTTTCCTCCCCTTTCTCCCACTTTTTTCCTCCCTTTTTTCTCATTTTCCCCTTTTTCCTCACTTTTCTCCTTTTTTCACCCCCGCTGCTCATTTTTCCCTTGTCTCCTTTTTTTCTTTCCTATTTTTCTTTCCTTCCCCATTTTTTCCTCTCTTTTCCACTGTTTTTTCCCCTTTTCATTCTTTTCCCTCCCCTCTTCTCCTTCCTTTTTCTCCTCTTTCTCCCTCCCTCTCCTCCTATTTCCTCCCTCTCTTTTCCCACATTTTCAAATACAAATATATACTTAAATTTACAAATGCTATTTACAGGTTTAATTACAAAAAAAAAAAATCAAAGAGAAAGAGAGACACCCCTTAGACGTTAATAAATCTAAAAATAAAAAATATATAATAACTCCTCCCCACCCCCCCACCCCCAAAACAAAAAAAATATTTCAGGCCGAAGGGCGGGGGGATCACACCGTGGTCTCGCCCTGCTTGCTGTTGGTGAGCCGAGTGTAGAACTTCCTCCAGGAGTGCAGGGTTTTGCCAGACCATATCCAGAACCCCGAGGTGATGCCCACGATCAGAGTCATGAGATACTTGATCATGTAGACGGTGAAGTCGGGGGTCATGCGGGGGGTGAAGTGCAGCGGGCAGGGGATGGCCAAGCTCTTGCAGTTCTGGCTGATCCAGCTGCGCTCCCAGTGCTCGCGGAAGGCCTGCTCGTAGAAGTAGCAGGCGATGACGATGGTGGCCGGCACGGTGTAGAGGACGCTGAAGACCCCGATGCGAACCATGAGCCGCTCCAGCTTCTCCGTCTTGGTGCCGCCGTGCTTCATGATGGTGCGGATGCGGAAGAGGGAGACGAAGCCGGCCAGGAGGAAGGAGGTGCCGATGAAGAGGTAGACGAAGAGCGGCGCCAGCACGAAGCCTCGCAGAGGGTCGATGTTGTTGAGGCCCACGAAGCAGACGCCGCTCAGCAGGTCGCCGTCGATCTGCCCCATGGCCAGGATGGTGATGGTCTTGACCGCCGGCACGGCCCAGGCGGCCAAGTGGAAGTACTGGGAGTTGGCCTCGATGGCCTCGTGGCCCCACTTCATGCCGGCGGCCAGGAACCAGGTGAGGGAGAGGATGACCCACCAGATGGAGCTGGCCATGCTGAAGAAGTAGAGCATCATGAAGAGGATGGTGCAGCCCTCCTTCTTGGTGCCCTGCACCACGGTGCGGTAGCCGTCCTCCTGGAAGCGCTCGTTGCACACCACCCTCTCCTCCAGCACGAAGCCGGCGATGTAGGCCACCGACACCATGGTGTAGCACCCCGAGAGGAAGATGATGGGTCGCTCGGGGTAGCGGAAGCGCTGCATGTCCACCAGGTAGGTGGTGACGGTGAAGAAGGTGGAGGCGCAGCACAGGACGGACCAGATGAGGATCCAGATGCGGGCGAAGCGGATCTCGTCCTCGTTGAAGAACATGTGGCCGTCGGGCCGGGTGGGCTCGCAGGGAGCTGCGCAGTCCTTCTCCCCCAGGAACTTGTAGTTGAGGTAGCTGGGCACCTTCAGCGCCCGCGGGCAGTGGAAGGGGTGGTCCAGGGTGGCGTAGCGGGGGGCGCCGGGGGTGCCCTGGCCGGCCAGCGGCGTGGCGCTGGTCAGCAGCGCCGGGGAGCCGCCGTCCTCCGAGTGGTTCTGCCCCACGCAGATCTGCTCGGCGCCGTGCCGGGGGAAGTTCTCGCACCGCAGCCGCTCCGGCCACTGGAAGCCGAATTTGTTCATGAGGGCCTCGCAGCCCTGGCGCGCCCGCTCGCAGATGGAGCGGCACGGCGGGATGGCCTGCTCCAGCACCGTGCACACCGGCGCGTACATGGAGCACAGGAAGAACTTCAGCTCCAGCGAGCACTGCACCTTCACCAGAGGGTAGAACTGATGGACCTCCAGCCCCGCGTCCTCCTGGTTGGTGTGACCCAGCAGGTTGGGCATGATGGTCTGGTTGTAGGCGATGTCGGTGCAGAGCGGGATGGAGATGGGCTGGCAGAAGCCGTGGTCGGGGATGGAGATGCCCTTCTCGCCGTGCAGCTGGGCTCGGCTCGGCGCCGGCACGCTCAGCCCCGCCAGCAGCCAGGCCAGGGCGGGCAGCACGCCGGGGGGGCCCATGGTGCCCCGAGCCGTGCGCCCCGATTTACCGTGCCCGGTGCCCCGCCGCACGGCCGATCCTCCCGTCCGGGGCTGCCGTGCCCGGGGCTGCCTGGACGGCTCCCGGTGACTGGATACGCTCTGGTCCCGCCTGGATGACTCCGGCTGGCCTGATCTGCCGTGCCCGATGCTGACTCGACGGCTCCCGGGGATCAGCTCCGCCGTGGCCGGCGCTGGCTGCACGATCCCCGGTGACGGGACACTCTCAGCTCCCGCCTGGACGGCTCCCGGATCTCCCGTACCCGGCGCTGCCCGGACGGCTCCCGCTGCCCGCTGTCCGCCTACCCCGTGCCCGGCGGGACGGCTCCCGGTGTCTCGATCTCCAGTGCGTGGCGGGACGGCTCCCGGTGCTCGGACGTGGCGCTCCCGGTGCTCCGCGGCGCTGCTCCCGCTGCCCGAACTTGGCGCTCCTGCTGCTCCCGGTGGTGCCGGGAGGGTGGCGGGAGGGGGGTCCCGGGGGGTGCCGGGGGGGTGCCGGGGTCCCGGGGCGCGGGGAACGGAGCGGCCGCACCGGACGCTCCCGCCGCCTTTGTGCGGGGCAGCGCCGCGTCCCCGCCGGGCGGGGCCAGCGCCGCCCGCCCCGCCCCCCGCCCCGCCCGCTCCACCAATCACATTCAAACGCCGCGACCGCCACGCCCACTCCGGGCGCGGGCCACGCCCACCAGGCCCCGCCCCCGCCCCGGGGTCACCGCCCCCCCCCCAAGTTTTTCCGAGCGGGGCGAACCCCCCCGAACCCCCCGAGGGCGGGGTCGGGCCGGGGCCGCGGGGAGCGGGCCTGCCGTGTGCCCCGTGTGCCCACATCGCAGTGTGGCCTCTGCTGCCCGTGTCCCCAGTGTCCCCTGTGTCCCCTGTGCCCCGTGTGCCCGAACCGCACTGTGGCCTCTGCTGCCCGTGTCCCCAGTGTCCCCTGCGCCCCCGTGTGCCCGAACGGCATTGTGCCCCCTGTGCCCCGTGTCCCCAGTGTCCCCTGTGCCGGAACGGCATCGTGGCCTCTGCTGCCCGTGTCCCTTGTGCCCCATGTCCCCTGTGCCCCCCGTGTCCCCTTGTCCCCCCTCTGTGTGCCCTGCTGTCCCGTGTCCCCTCGTGTCCCCTACTTCTCCCTTGTGTCTCCTGACCACCACTGTGGTCACTGTACCTCTGTCCTGTGCCCCTCCCCTGTCCCCTGCTCCTTCCATGTGCTCTGTACCCCCCAAGTGCTCTGCACCCCCCGTGTCCCCTGTCCCCTGTGTCCCCGGCATCCCCTGCTGTGTGCCCTAGGCCTGCTGTGGCCTCTGCACTCCCTCCATGTCCTCTGTCCCCTCTGTGTCTCCTGTGCCCCCCTTGTGTCCTCTGCACTGCTCATGTCCCCTAACCCCCTAACCTGTGGGGCTGCTCCCCCCAGCCCAAGACCCCTCTAAAGTGCTGCAAGGTGTCCCCCACTGTCCCCAGGTCCCACTTCAGGGTGCAGTGGAGAAGATTAGCTCCCATGCCCCACTGGAGACCTCCAGGATTGGCCCCACCATCCCTTGTCCCCAGGTGTCACCCAAGCAGTGCCACCACTCCATGGGCACCCCTGGGGTGCTGCACCCCCAAAAGGCCACTGCACAGCCAGGGGTGTCCCCTAAACAGGGCAGTGGGAGAGGCCTGGGGGCCTGGGACACACTGGGAGGGACTGGGACACACTGCGAGGGACTGGGACACATTGGGAGGGACTGGGACACACTGGGAGGGACTGGGACACACTGGGGGGAACTGGGACACATTGGTAGGGACTGGGACACATGTTGGGACTGGGACACACACTGGTAGGGACTGGGACACACTGGGGGGAACTGGGACACACTGGTAGGGACTGGGACACACACTGGGAGGGACTGGGACACACTGGGAGGGGGAGTCTTGGACATGGCAGGGATATGCCTGGAGGGAGCCAGGACACACTGGGAGGATCCAGGACATGCTGGGGGGATCTGGGACATGCAAAGGGGGACTGGAACACACTGGGGAAACCCTGGGACACACTGTGGGGGGACACTGGGACACAGCAGGGGGATCCAGGACGCGCTGGGGCCATCCAAGACACACTGAGGGTGTTGGGACACAGGGAGGTCAAGCACAGGGGGTCATGGGACACACGGGGGAGTCAAACACACACTGGGGGGCACTGGGAGACACTGGGGAGGTTCAGACACATTGGGAGAGACTGGGACCCACTGGAGGGAATAATACTGTAGGTGATCACCCCAAATTTCGGCACTAGAACGGGGGCTGCTTTTTCCAAGGCAAGGAGCTGCCTTTCCCCCGTTTCCCTCGGGGGCTGCGGTGGGGAACCCCCTGCCCCTGTTTTGGGGGGCTGGGGGATGAAAGGCAGCTGGGGGGGCTGGGCTGGAGAGCCCCCTGCCCCTGCCCGCTCCGTTTTGGGGGGCTGGGGGGCTCCTGGCAGCCCTTTTCCCTGCCTCCCTGCGCGTCCTCCCTCCCTTTCTCTCCCTTTCCTGTAACTTAAGCTTTTGTTGTGAGCAGGAGACCCGGGCTGTCGTGAAAAGAGGGGGCCCCACCGCCTTTCACAGCGTAATTGAAACCATTGCGGCTCCTGGCCGAGGGGGAAGGGCAGGGGGGGGCTCCCAAATCAAAGCCTGGGGTGGGGGGAAAGCCGGGACACACGATGCTGCCGGGCCCCCTCCCCGCCAGCCCCCCGGGCCGGACGTGCCGGGTGTCCCGGCGGGGCTGCCCGGGGCTCTCCCGCTCCCGGGATGGCGGAGCCGCCGGGGCTGCCGTGGGGTGGGAGCCAGGGCCGGCTGTCCCCGATGGGGCACCCAGGGGTGCTGCGCTGCCTTTGGGCCCCGGGGGTCGCTGGGTGTGCGGGGGTCCCGGGCGGGAGGCGGCGGGCAGAGGCCGGAGCCCGGCCAGCGCTGCCTCCGGCCCGTTCCCGTTCCCGTCCCCGTCCCCGTTCCCATTCCCATTCCCGTTCCCATTCCCGTTCCCGCTCAGGCCCTGTGGCAGCACAGTCTGGCTGGGTGTCCCCACCGTGCCCCCCAGGCCCACAGGGACAGGAACAGAGGGGTACAAGGGTGTCTGCACAGCCACGTGGATCTTGGCTTCCTGAATGCTTCAGATTTTGGATTCTTTCTGGAGATTGGGGGTTTCACTTTCAGAAGGGGTTGCAGAGGCTGTCCCCATCCTCTCTGTCCTCCTGGGTGCTGGTGGCTGAGGACAAGGGTCCCCAGAGCCTCCAGGGACACACTGGGACATGGTTCCACCCAGAGTGGGTGCTGAGCCCTCCTGGGGATGGCAAAACCCAGAGCAGATCCACCAGCCAGCCCTGAGAGGAACCCCTGGGTGGGCTGGGGGTGTCAGGAGACACCCCAGGGAAGCAGCCAGCGGGGTTCTGCCCGCTCAGGGGTGTCCCCTCCCAGGGACATTCAGGGTGGCCAGGGAATCCTGTTGATATCCCTTGTCCCTGTCACCAGGCCCTGCCAGAGCATGAGGGATGGTAGAGGGTGCCCAAAACTTCCCATGGGGGTCTGGGCTTGGTGTCCTGGGTGGAAGGGACACTGTGAAGACAAGGACCAACCCCTGCACCCAGTGGGAGAGGGTGGGTGCTGCCCAGACTGGGCTTTACTGGGATTATGGGGCCAAACTCAGCTTTTCCCCCCAGCTTCCCTTCGTGTCCCCACAGAGCTGCTCAGGGTGGGGGACACCCAGGAGCCCCAATCCTCCCACTGCTCCACTCTCCCTTCATCCCAGTACGGCACTGGGGGATGCTGGTGGGCACCCAGTGTTGGCAGTCCCCTGCTCCCAGCACCCAAGGGTCCCCAGGGGGAGGCCCATGGCCACCTCCAAAGGTCTGGTGGCTCCTGTGTCCCCCATGGAGCAGGACATGGTGCCCATGCAGCCCCCCTTCCTGAGATCCCCCCAGCACCATGAGGTGCCAGTGGGGTCCTCCCTGCACCATCAAAGCCAGGGATGGGGGACACAGCTTGGAGCACCCATATCACCCCCAGCAGCACCCTAACCCACCCACGGGCTGGTGGCCTCTTTCTGAGCCTCCTCCCTGGGGACAGGTGCCCTGGGGATGGCACCACATCTGGTACACGCCCTGTGTGTGGCCAGCACCACTCTGAAGGGCAGAACTTCCAGGGGGCACTGGCAATGTCCCTTAGGGATGGGCACAAAGGATGGCAAAGCAGAAATGGGGCATAGAGGGGCTGTGGCAGGCCATGCCAGGCAGGATGGGGACCTCGGGGGTCCCCCAGGAGCACAGAGGAAGGGAAGGGACCCCCGGTCCTGCCCTTGGCTTTGTTTCACACTTAAGAGGCTCTAATTAAAACCAGGCACAAAGGCCCTGGCTGGCGGCAGGAGCGAGGTGCCAGCAGAGCACGGGGCTCTGTCACCAAGGGAACAGGAGTGACACGGGGTCCTGGGCATGGGCCCTGCATGCCCAGACACACAGACACATGTGCAGACACACACACGTGTGCAGACACACACACGTGTGCTCCTTACCAGGGAGAGCAGTGCTCAGGCCTGGTTTGTACTGCTCTGAACTGGTGTGATGGTCTGCAGGGCTCCGTGTGTGGGAGGGGTCTGTGAGCAGCCCTGCCCAGGGGGGCTGGGGGCAGAGACGAGCCCTGGGCTGGGTGTGGGGTGAGCCAAGCCCTGGGGGCAGCCAAGGACCACAGAGGGTCCCCAGCTGGGACTGGGGGGCTGGTGAGTGACCCCAAGACTGAGCTGGGGGATGAGCCCCCACAATATGGGTCTGCCTGCCTGGATCCCTCAGGGCGCTGAGACCCCAAAGCTGTGCTGTCCCCCAAAGCTGTGCTGTCCCCCAAAGTTGTGCTGTCCCACACAGCTGTGCTGTCCCCCAAAGCTGTGCTGTCCCCCAAAGTTGTGCTGTCCCACACAGCTGTGCTGCCCCCCAAAGCTGTGCTGTCCCACACAGCTGTGCTGCCCCCCAAAGCTGTGCTATCCGTCAATTGTGCTGT